GCAAAATCTCTCAGGAATCTCTTACAGTGTATTTGAAAATAATTTGAGTTTGATTTGCATGAAAATGAACAGCACCCTCTACACTACATGTAGAGTAAGATTTTCTTACTTAGCCAGCTTGTGTCTTACCATTTGTTTATCTTCCACCGTGTTCTCATGAAACCCTTACGTGACCATTTGAACTGTATGGAATTACACAAACAAGTTACAAACTTCATACTTGTTTACTGAATTGCACTGTCTGCACTGGCATTCCTGTATATTCATGTGTCATAGTACTGAGGGAATATTCTTCCTACAAGTAGATGCAGTTCTGATGTTTTTGTTGTAAATGGGATACATGTACACATATATAAAAAGTCTGTAATATTTATTAGCCTATGTTGATCGCACTGATCAAAGCACAACTTACATGTAGCAAAAGATCTTTTTGTGCTTTTTACCAGACTAAGCCATGAACATATACATGTTACGACTCAAGACAGTAGGTTTATTTAGTATGTCTTTTAAATATTGTGTTTGTTGAGCTTCTGAGTAAATTAATTTGGGTTATTTGCCTTGCTCAAAATCTTTGTAGTAGCGACAAAGATGGTTAATTCAGTCAGAAAATTAAACCTAAACTTCCCATTCATAACAGACACATTGAAATTAGTATTTAATCTTACCTTTGGGAAGAAATCCAAAGGAAATTTTTCTTTTTCCATGAATGGGATATCTGTCAGGCTTCCCACAGAAGTCTAAGGACAGCCAAGCATAATACAGTACATAAATTATTATCACAACAAAGTAACACAAATTCAATGAATGTAGTAGTTTTATAACAGAGCAAAAGGTTGTATATAAAGGCCTAAATAGATAAAGTTAATGAGACACTACACTCACTTCTTCGCCTTCAATCTTGGTGAATGTGCAATCTTCATTTAAGGTTTTTGTAAAGATGAGAAAGGAAAAGAAACAATGTTAATGTTCAGTTAATAATAATACTATTAATTAATCATCCAACATGTGTAATACATGCAAAAAAGACAACTACCGCAAACTTCCAAAAGTAACGACCCTCTGACAGTAGCGCCTCCCAGACAGTAACACCAAAAAATTATGGCCTCTAATAAATCCTGAAAGTAGCGATCCCCTGAAAGTAGCAACCCCCTGAAAGTAGCGAGCCCACCCATACCCCTCCCTTCCCAAAACAGTAAGATCCAGGTTCAATAGTATTTATTTTTCCAATCAATAGTCACGACAGGTGAAAGCTATATAATTATGGTAATTTGATTTAAGGCACTCTACAATAAGGGAAATTTGACTGATTTTTCGTTATAAAAAACATTTTTATCTCCATTTCTTGTCTTTCTTGAAGATGCCGAGAGATACATGTAGACTTCAAAAGCTGTAACTCTACAATAAAACTGTCCTATCAATAATTACTGAACAGTACAGTTAGTCTGTTTACAGGTGTATTCCTTGCAACTTCTGACAACCAATATGCTTTGAATAACTGTGTGTATAAAAAAGTGGTATCTAATATAGCTAACCAAGGTTTCATGATGAAATCAAGTGGATGGTGAACAATCAATACCCTGAAAAAGGCGGCTACTTCTGTCAAAAACTGAGCGATGTTTTTGACAAACACACTGCACAAAATAATGTTTTCATTTTATCTCCATCCAATTTGTTTTTCCCACAATTGCTGAAATTGAAGAACAAGAGATTCTTCATACTTATTTTGTTTGGAAATTTAGGCAATGTGCAAAGAAAGTCCTGACTGATAGCCCAGGGCCACTGGATTTTCAAGTCAGGCTAGTGGCTAGTGGATTCTGTACCTAGCTTCCCCGATAGGCAAGTGAAGTTTTACGAGAAAATTTTTGAGGAAATTCAAATTACAGACTGTACTGTAAAAGAAGAACTTTTTGTGGGCTAGTAAGAAAGATTTTGGAGGATGATTTTTGTGCATCATAGTTAGTAGGAGCTTCCCCAAATGGCAAGCCTGAAAATTGAGTAGCTTGTCCTTTCTTTGTTGGGTTGAGATTTCCTCTTACTGTTTTCCTTAAGCTCAAATTTCTAAAGGTTTAGGAGACTCACCGCATTCTAGAACACAGGTTTTTGGTAGTTTTGAGCCGAAACAAGCGTGCATGGTTAAGTATGTGACAGAGAAACAAACACATGGACAACAAGTT